CCACTGCATTGCCAACTCATAATGATGGAGGAGGATTGTTTGCTTTTCCTTGTTTTTTTTTTTCTCCTTTTTTATATCTTTCCTAGTTACAGATGGTTAATTTTACTGTGAGGGGGGAAAAGAAAAAGGAAGGAAGCTCTAGAAATACATCTCAGCTATTCAGTAGGCTACAGAGAGCAAAGAATAATCTGGGGGTAAGTTCTCTATAGCAAGACTCCAACAAAGGACTGATCACTAAGAAGTGAGCATTATATCATACTTTCCAGACTATTCACAGGATTAAACCAACTGTGCACACAGTAAGCTCTCTTTACAGATCTGAGAGCAGCACAGGCAGCGAGACCCATTTGTTTTGGATGGTTTTCAAGACACAACTATTGTTTATATTGTGCAGTGGCCCAGGGCTGCGGAAGAGGAAACCGTAAATTGTAACGAGCAAGCTGGAGTGTGCACAGCGCTGTGCTTCAGGAAACATCAGCTCTCCAGCTGGAAAAGGAGGCTCTGGGACCAACTGCAACAACAGGGATGTTGATGTTGGAAGCAAGATTTTACGTTTTAAGGAAAAGAACCCAAAAAGAAAGCAAATGCTTCAAGTTGATATGGTCAGCTAAGCCTGGTGCTGACTCTGCTTCCAGGTGTGCTAATCAGCCCAGTTCACTTTTCAATAGTGGGTGAAAGTCTTATGAAAACAAGATAATCAGGATCAGATTTTGACAGTAAATATCTAAGTTTGAGGGTTTTTTAAAGGCTGAATTTGGACTTGGTAAAATTCAGTAGGATCAATATATAAGTGTTAGGGGGGGCTGTTCAGAGATAGTCTGCTGGCTGTGGGCAGGTTGTTGGGGAGGGAACCATGAGATTACAAAAGCTGTGACAAACACTTGCTCTTGCACCCTGCCAGTTAAATGCAGGGCAGACATATCAGTTGCTTCTCATCTGAGTGTCTTAAAGCTCTGTTGTCCTGAGGTAGCCTAGTTATCAAGTGGGGAGCAGGAGAGAGGAGAGGGTTGTGCAAAATAGTACTTCCCTGAAACGTTTGAGAAGGGTCAGTAGCAAGGAGGAATGAGTGCTGGAGATAGTCTGGCATGGAGCTGGTGTTACTAGAAGGCAGCTGTTCATCCTCAGCTTAAAAAAAAATAAATCTATGATAAATCCAAGAATGGAGTCACAAAGTGGAGAAATATGATACTTGTCCTTAGATGATCCTTAGAATATGCGTAGGGTGCTAAGCAAAAGAAGGCAGTGAGTCAAACACATGGGTCACATCAGCTGTGGACTGGCACAATGGCAAAGTGGGGGGCTGACACAGATAAAGGCTGGCATTCCATGCCAGGCTCCATCCATGGCTGCTGCCCTCTTCCTGAGGGGAGCACCGAAGGTGCGTGACAGAAGAAGGGTGATGCAGCTTGCTCCTCTTACAGGAGGTAATACCCACTTCTAAAATATTTTTATTTTACTTTATTTAAAAAAAAAACCGCGCAAAAAACAACCAAACAAAAAAAACCCCAACCTAAAAAAGAGAATGGTCAAGTTTCCATAGGGTATTTTGCAGGTCTGAGCTGCCTTTCTCAAGGCAGGTGTAAGGGTGGGCAATGATGTAGTCAGCCTGCCCATCTGCCTCAGTCCCTGTCATTCTACCCTGGCCTCCCAAAACCCCAGCTCTCTCCTTTGGAGGTGCTACTGCTCAGTCAAAATCTGTCAAGCAGTGGGATAGTTTCCTACTGGGAACTATTTTAAACAGAAACTGGTTGTAGGACATTACGTTGAGATAGCTGAGCTCTATTTTAATAATATTTATGTCCTTGTTTGCAGGCAGAATTGTGCTAAATCACCCCTCCTCCCCAGTCCCTGTTGGACAGGATTCATATATGAACACTGCCGTGCAATCCTTAACAGGAAAAAAAACCTGAAAAAAACTAAAGAGGGAATCCACTGGGGAAGTGAGTGTCATGAGCAGTCACTTAGTTAAGGTGTGTGGGAATAGATGTTTAGAGACTGTCACCTGATATTGCTACCTCTGCCAAAACCCAGAAGGCTCAGTGATTTCAGTTTAGAGGACTGAGACAGTGGAGACCAAAAAGTTAAAATAAAGCAATATGAAGGAACAATGATACAACTGGACCCAGACACACAGCTGGAGGGATGTCCAGTCTCTGCAGCAGAATTTAAGTGGAGAGATTTCAGGTCTTCCTGAATACTGCTCCTTTAGCCATGTTAAACATCACTGATTTTAGAGAGCTTAGAAGACGGGCTTAGCAGAGACTGTGTTTCATCTGGCTGTTTAGAAAGGCATTTAACAGCACTTCTGACCAAGCTTAAATGAAAGATAACAGGGCTGCCCTTACTGCCCTGTGAACAAGGTGTAAGTTTCCCTTCCCTCAGTCTGTGAGGAATAAGACTTCAGGTATTCTCCCGCAAGAAATTAGCGTTCAGGAAATCAAGCGGTGTGAATCAGCACATCTTTGTGGTCTCTAAAGGAACAACTTCACAGGACTGATGTGTCTGGCCTCTCACCCTCTGAGACCTGGAGGGCAGGGATTGTTTGTACCTAAGTGCCGACCTTCACCTCTGCTTATGTTCTCAGTCACCTCTAAAGAAAACAAATGGGAATACACAAGTGATTGGTTATTGCGCAGGCCTGGCAAGTCTGAGACTTTGAGCATGAGAGTTGCTCTTTTGTGCTCCTATTTCATGCTCTGTTGCCTTTTCCCTGCTCTGAGGTCCCACGTCCCTGCCAAGCTCTTTCTCTGTGTCTTCCTCCTCCCGTAGGGAGGTGCCCCCTCTGCGGGCCCTCGACCCATGTGAGCCATTGCCTCTGTCCCACAGCTCCGCGTGGGAATTGCTCGTGCTGGGAGCTGGAGCAGCCTGAGCAGCTCCCATATGAGTTTTGCTAATAGCAAACACAGAGTATATCATTACTGAATTCACGTACAGACTGCTAATAAACACCCACAGTCATCTCCTCCAAGAAGAGATGTCATAACTTGTTCCATCCTTTTCACTGTTTTCAGTGAATGTTATCTATTTATGTGGAATAGCTCAGGTTGGCACAGTGAAGGCACCAGTCTGAAGGCTGCTTACACTAAGCACACTGAAATTATTGTCACATCAAAACCAGGACCGGTTGAACATCTTCCTTTCATAAAACTTTCCTACAGTAAATAGATTTTTTTTTTTAATAATACAGATCTTCTTGCAAACACCATTTCTTTGTGAAGAATTATAGAGAAATATGCCCCGAAATTCATATTTTAAAAGGGGAATTTCTACCCAAACCCAGAAAACAGATTGTTGTAATGACTTTGGGAATTACAGGGTGCTCATCGTACCCTCAGAGCTGTGATGACAGTTTATCTCTCATCATGTCATTCTAAAATTACTAATTGTCAACTCACTTTGCTTCATCTCCAAAAAGTTGGGATCTGATAAGCTGAAGGAAACCCAGCCCAGTCCAAGACCCTGACCCACAGAACTGTATGAGGGCAAAGTCCTGAGTGCACAGCTCCTATGAGACATTGTGGTAATCTCAGGTTTGGAGTGCTTGAAAAGAAATCTTCATGTCTCTATTTGATGGGTTTTGAAACACCTCTAAAATTTCTATTAAAAAGTCAATAGCTTTGTAATTGTCAATTAATTTTTAGTTACTTATGAAAATCAATGTTTTTTGCTATAGCTGAAATCTTCCTGTTGCTGAGTGAGCTCAATAGTAGATCTACAGGTCAAATCCAGAGCTCTTTTTAAGAAAGGACAACTTCAAGTCTGTAGCTTTTTCTGTTTCCTGTACTGCAAAGATTCTGCACAGTTTCACTTTTCAGCACTTAGCTGTGCCAGAAGTAATGGATGCCTATGAAAACAGAAGTTTTTCCTAAACAATAACTTTCAGTTGAAAATACTGTAGAGAATAAGATTAAGGGTTAAGGGCTAAAATTTTTGAATGCTGCTGGGAAACCCTCCTGTGTAGTTCTGTGCTGGCAGCTTCTAAAACTTTTCATTAGATTGATTCTTTTAAATGTTTGTCCTTTTGCTGTCGAAAGAAAAGATTTTACAGAAATGTAAAAGTGTCCAAAGGGAATTTTCTACTTAGACCAAAACATTTACTCTTTCTTTAAGCCATCAAAGTGAAATATTACATTGCTGTTCATATCAAATCACAGTGTTTACGTTTTTTTCGAGAAAAGGGAGCTATTTTTTTTTGTGCTCAGCACCGAAGTCCAGGTGCCTCAAAGGAGGCGTAATTCATGTTCCCAGCTTTCCTTATGGATGTAGTACAACTTCCTTGAGACCCCTGGCTCCCTCCTAATATTACACCACTTGATATTTCTCAAAAACTGAATAATTCATCTGAGCTCTCTGAAATTACGGTACAATTAAGGAGCATTTTTGTTGCACAGAAAGTTCTCTTACTTACCCCTTCCTTTGATCAGAAATTAAAAAAAACATCAAACAAACAACAAAATATTGGAATTTTCCAAAAGAACAGAAATTGTGTTTTTTCTCTCAGCTCAGTGATCTCTCTGGCTACTTCTCACTCACTCACCTTGTGAAAAGGGAAGAGAAATTGCTCCAAACAAAAGTGCTTTAGCTGCTTCAATTTGAATTCAATTGCACTTAGAGTAAGCCTGGGAGAAAGTTTGGCAGATACTTAATGTGTTAAATGACACAAAATTGTAACTATTACGATAGGGCATGCATTAACTGAGTATTTCTGATGTAGGCAAAAAAAAGCAGGAGTCCTGAGAAATGGATATTCCTAAAGAATAAATGGTAGGCAAGTGCCAGGAAAATGACATGTATCTTTTAAATGTCTTTTGATGGTTGGCTTTGGCTGTAAAAATAAAAATGCTGATTAATTACCTTTTTAAAGTACTTTAATAATGACACTGATTAACCTTTACAGCAACCTGGTGGAGCAGATGAGTTTTAATACTGCCAATTTAGAGATAATTAAGTAGCAGATCTGTTAAAACACCTTCATTTTTGATGCCTTCTAGGTTTTTAATACCCACCTCAAGAAACCCAGTGGTTGAAGAGCTTCTGCCCCTTCAGTTGGTCTCTGGCTGAGTTGTGGCACCTCAAAACATTTTGCCCCTGAGGCCCCACTGTGAGAAGCTGCATTTGTGATCATCCACAGTGAAAATCTGTGCATGAAAATCCACCCCATGAGTGTGCTGCTCCATGTAGAGTCAGGCAGATGGTTGTCAGACCACTCAGGAAATACAAGGTATGGGCATTTATCCTGTAATTTACCCTAAGTGTTGTCCAAGTGTTTCCAGTGGCGTGTTTAAATTAGTCCCATAGTAAGAATATTACATAGTAAGATAACTACTTACTATTACATAGTAAGATTGAGAACTAAGTTTTGATTTTTGGAGCAGGAATCATTTTGATGTGTGTCTGCAAAACAAAGGTCAAAGACTTACCCCAGCCCCAGCTGCCTTTGGGCAGTTCCTCCTTCCAAAGTAGCAAAAAAAGAGGGGGAGGTGGGAAAAAAAAGGAGCCAAAGAGGATACTAGTGTTTAAAAATGCTTTATCAGGGCTTCTTTTCTTCCAGAACAGCCAGCAGGATTGGAGAAAGCTCAAAAACACACAGACAAAGGAGCAAGTATGGGAAGATATGTGCACTTCCCTGCCACAGATTAGCAAGAGAAGTAACATACTTTAAGTCAGTAGATCTTGCTTGTCTGAATGGCAGAAGTTTAGTTCTGGAAGGGAAACAACCATTTGTCAAAGCTGCATATTTCTTCACTTAATTAATAAGTAAAACAAACTGTTGGAATGTGAACACAGAAACTTTCCTGTTTAAGGTTTGTGTAATCTGGGGGCCTCCCTCTGATGATGACCAGCACCAAGTGCCTCAAACAAAACTGCAAGAAACAGGTCAATACAGAGTTATGGAATGGATTGCAAGTCCAGTTTCTTTCTAGACTTTACAGGTCAGTAGTTGGCTTATGCTGTGATGTAAAAGGTTCTTTCTTTATTTTCTAATGTTTCCAGCTCTCACAGTATATGGTGTCCTTGAAGCCCTGACCATGCATTTCTCTTACTAGATCCCAATCTTTCCTTAAAATAATTGAACAAATCAAAAAAGAAAAAAAAAAAAGAAGAAAAAGAAAAAAATAGTCAACTTTCCTATTTGTTGGGGATAACCTGACAAGAGATTTTGAAGGCTGACACGGGTTCAAGGCAAGACTGGACAAATACATATGAAATAAATTCACTGTGTGTTACTAATTAAACAGAAAGCACTTCCAGCATGGCAACTGCCTCTACTTGAAAACAGTTGGAGAGTGGAAGAATACAAGAGGAGAATATCACATGTCCTTGTCCTGTTCTTGTTTCCCTTGGGAAAAGCAGCTATAGGAGACAGGACTAAATAGACTTTCTGCCTGAGGCAGAATGGCCTTTCATACAGCAGATATCATCTACATTTTGAAAAATCCTACCCATATTCATAAGGCTAAGGCAAGAACCTTGAATTATTTAAGTGACATCCAGAAGTTAGTTTTGATTTATCTGGAAAAGTTGTGGATTTTTCCCCCAGTGTTTAGAATTGAGTACATGTCCTAGTATCTCCAAATATCATAATAGTCAGTGTTGAAATGCTGGATACTGTAGGTTTTGAATGGTAGTATATTATATTATTTATAATATCTTCTTTAATAATGATAAGAATGTGCTGCACCTTTATGGAAAATGAACCATTTTTCATAGAAAAAGAGCCAATCGGGTTTCTTTTCAAATACCAGAAACTTAGGAGGAGAGTTTTATTTTTGCAACAGTTCAAAATAACAGTTTTGGTGTTTTTGTTTTTGTTGGGTGTTTTTTTGTTTGTTTGTTCGTTTTTTGTTGTTTTTTTTTTTTTTTTTAATAGGGAACCCCCCCCCCCCAACTATTGTCAGAAAGTGATTGCTTTTACTGCAAAACTGACACTGCAGCACTAAGTTACATCATCCTCCAGGAAATCACTTTCCCACGTGGCTTCATTGGAATAAGAACTTGCTGGAGCTGAGTGGGTGTTCTGTGCTCTGCCACAACAAGGTCCTGGCTAAGGGGAGCTGTGGTGTGTTAAACAGCCCCTGGGCTCCTGCAGCGATGCAAATTCAGAGGGAGGTGAAAACTGTGAGAGAGGAAATGAGCCCGTTGGCTAGTCATGATAAAAAAGAGAGAATTTGTGCATGCCAGCACAAATAGTGTTTTTAAGGGCAGAGATAGCATCTTTGGGGATGTTTTATTTTTAGCTTGAAAACTTTAACACAGCTAATTAACTTCAAATGGGATGTACGGCATAAACAGGCAGGAGCCTGCTGGTGAAATTAATTATTCACCCTAGGAAGGGACAAGGTATATATGAGGGTGATCAAAATGGGAAAAGGGAATTTGATGCCTGGAATTGGCTAAAAACAAGGCACGACCTGAGTTCAGTGTGGGGTGTTGGGGGTTTAAATTTGTGTGATGATTACGTAAAGTGGGACTGAAGTGAAGAAAGCAGCAAACTACAGCTTGTGTGGGTTTTGTTGCATTTCTGTGTGAGGGTAGAGAAGTTTCAGTACCTGAGAACGTCTCAGTTCGTGGAGTCTGCATTGGATGAAGAAGTTTGTGGTGTCATCTAGTGCAGCACATTACAGCAGGGACAGAGCCTGGCTGTGTTACGGTAGAAACAATACTAAAAAATGTTAACTAGAAAGGAGAAAGTAAACACTTTAAAATCCTCTGTAGGATCTGCCCCACTCTGTAATCCAGAGGGATAAGAAAAAACTGAGCCTGGCTCACTTTGGTTGGCACAGAACTAATTCCCCTTGTCTGGAAGTTAAAATAAAAAACCTCAACCCCTTCAGTGATAATGCGTTGCAGTCACTTCCCAGACAGGCTTTGACTGAGCACCTTGCAGGTGAAGCAACAGGAAATTACAGAGGCAAAGATGCTAAATTTTACAGTTTGGTGCATCCTCATTGGCAAAACTCAGTCTAGTGTGTCTGTGGAAATGCAGTTCTGCTGGTACAGTCCTGCTGCCATGTGGCTCTGGGGAAACCCTGCAGACACTGTGGCAGGGAGAAAGTTGGAGGTGGCCCACATGTACATCCTCACTCTCCAGAGCTGGTATATCCTTCAGGTCAGGAGGAGTGCTGCATCATTCATTTTTGGGTTTTCTCTGTGTGTGTGTGTGTGTGTGTGCATGTGCATATGAAAGTCAGGGAGGAGGAGACTGCTCATTTTTTGTGTCCCTTAATTAGGAGTGTTGTTACCATGGCTCTGAGAAGAATTCAACTATCACGAAGATGGCTGTCATCACTCCCCCATGATACAGCTTGCAGGAGGCCGATAGAGTCAGCTTTCTGACTCAGTTAGAGGTCAGAGTGGGAGGCAGAAGACCTACAGATCATCTCTGCCCATTAGAGGAGACAAAACAAAGTGATTGTGACTCACTGCTCAACATGCCCATGCACACTTTTCAGGGCTCTCCACCAGGATTCAAGGCCACTGCTGCTGGCTGTGCTGGACTCCCAGGGCTGCATCCTTCTCCTGGGCAATGAGGCATGCAGTGCTGCATTTCACGGCTGGGCTGTTTCTTGACTGAGATAAAAGACAGGGAGATGGTCTTCTCCCAGCTGCACCCGCCTTCTGCATCATCATGACGTGGTGCTCACACCCAGATGAGCAGTGCAGGCATTATCCATGATGAGCCACTTCCACAACTTTCTGACATGAAGAGGGATGCTCAGGCTTGTGTTTGTGTTTGTGTCTGTGCTGCCTACGTGCCTATTCATCCCAGCTTCCCACGATCCACTGGGACCCTCCACCAAGCTTTCTTTGTTTACACCTCGGGATTCAGATTTTGAGCGATGTAGAGAAAAGGGCAGATGGCAAGCTAAGCTGCCATGAAGGTATAATCTCTATGAAACTTATTCAGGAGTTATTCTAGAAGACAAAAAAGAGAAGGCGGAAGAGACAGCAGGAATTTACTGACACTTCTACGAGCCAGCACCTTTCCCCAGTTGTATGAGTGTGTGTGATGGCAATTTATAAACACTAATAATTAATCCTGACCACCAAGCTGCTTTCCCTTCCCTGTAGGTGACTGAATTCAGCAGGGGCTGCTTGTGCATTCTGGCTGGGTACCCCATCTTAGCAAGCACATGATGCACAGCCTGCTCAAGTGCTGCTGCTTTGCTTACCATCTGTGAGGATGCTGTTTGTCCACAGGCTGATCCCATCTCTTCCTTGTTACAGACTGGATATGACCAGAGGACCCCATTGCAACTGACATCAGGGAAGAAAAAGACTCATAATTGGCTCTGTTTTGCATAGTTTCATTAATAAGCCAGCTGTAGAGGGAAATGCTATTTAGGCTGCACGTTTGAGACAAAAAATATACTCCAGTCTAATTTAAAGCTTTCAAATCTGCCAGATCTAGCCACTAAAACTCTACATGTAAATTTAAGCCATAAAGTTACCCTAACACTTAAAACTTAAGTAAATTTGCAGTAAGATGTACACAGATTTATTCCACATGTGTCTCCCCTATGGGAGTCTCACAGCTAAATCCTTGTGCATCTTGTATCTTATTGTAAATATGTACACTAATGATGCATAGAAATGGCTTTCACAACCTTGATTTGCCAGTGATTCTTGTTTGCATTACTTTTTATATTGTATTATAAAAAATCAGAGGTGATTTAATATTGAGGAATTCCTACCACTTAGTTATGGCCCTCTACCGAGGAGAAACCAGCACAGAGATCTGCAAACAGTGATTTAATTTGCACAGCCACTGTATCTCACCTACTTGCATATCAGTAATAGTCCATCTGCTGCTGACAGTCTGTTCCAAATGTAGTAATATAACAAGTAATGGTACTACAGTAATGTAACAAACCACAGCAAATCTTCCCATAAAGAACACAAAGTGTTTGCCAGGATGGATTTGAAAATACTTGGTTTGTGTTTTATCTTTTTTTTTGCCAGTGTCATTACATTAGGAATGAGGCTTATGTGAATAATTGGTTAATGCTTGAGCAGAAAAGTTAATATTTATTCAGGGGAATGGTCTGCATGGAGAAATATTAATGTGACTGGACACAAGTCTGTCATCAAAATGGGTTTTTAGTATTTTGATGGTGGAAAATGTTTCCAGACTGCTATGACTGAATGTGCTCCCTTTTTCTTCTGAAATCAAGGGTATAAATCAGTATTATACAGCTGGACTTAGCAGTGGGATACCTATCTGTGTGATAAGAAGGGACATGACTGTGTCTTCCTAATCCACACTACTGAACTTTTCATTCCAAGATGTGCTGAGAAACTTTTGTTCTCAATCACGTTTGAGAAACATGTTTCCTCTAACAAGGGAATGAGCCAGAAGGGGCAGTGGCAGCAGAAAGAAAAATACCAATGCCACCTAACAGGGAAAGACTGCAGGACCTCTAAAGAGGACAAGAAGATCTGCTGGACCCTGTTCAGATCATTATTTTCTCTGTGATTAAATAATTCATCAGGAATAAAAAGCCTTTAGGTGCAGAGTTATGTTTCCAATATTACTGCTCAAGGGTTTTTTTTATTGTACAAAGACTTGCATCTGAAGAACTATGCTTATCTTATGATTTGTTTAGGGTTTAGGCTTTTTTTTTCTTTGATTAGTGCTAGTGGGTTTATTCTTTCAAGAAATTATGCTAATGTTATTCTGGATGTAAGACAGTGTTTTTGCTAAAATGAAAGCACTGAACTATGTGCTTGATGGTTACTATCACAAGTGACTCTATGTAAGTGATAAATCTTTAAATATTTGTAAATGCCCTGCAGTTACTATACCATTGCAGTGATTCTTCAGGCCAATGTTTTAGTCTAAGTGAAAACGATCAGAAGAGTTTGATTTTTTTTACTTACTGGTGGTCGGAGAGACAGCAGTGCCTGATCATCTCGTGGGGAAAGAGGGGCTTGTGTTAAATAAATAAATACAGGCAGACAGAAACAGGTGGAAATTAAAATGAGAGAGAAGAGGGGAGAGGAAGGGGGAGGGGAGGACAGGCAAGAAGAAAGGAAAAGAAAGGGAAGGGAAGGGTAAGGGTAAGAATGTCTGTCTCTTCTGATCAGGGTCTCCAGACTAAGGAGGACTGAAGCTGAGCCCCCATGACCTGTGATGCTGGTTAAGACACTGTTGAATGACACAGTACTACAGATGAGATGTGTTTGGCACAGGTGAATGACTGCATTTCTATCCAGAGAGTCCATGCACATGCCATGGGTCTATGCTGGCTTCCTGCTGGCTCCTGATCCCTGTTTCATGAGCACAGTGTGGTGTGAATACCTCTACAGTACGAATCCTGCCTGCATGAACATAACCTCTTGGTATTGTTTCAGCAGATTTGAGTTGGCAGAGTGAATTTATATTGGATCAATGCTTTGCATTATGTGGCCACAGCATTTCTGCTCCTATGTTAGTAGCCCTGAAGCCAGATTTGCTGTATAGTCAAAGCATGGCTTGAATTGGCATAGAAAGAAAAGCTATCTAAGGTCATGGTTGTGGCAGACTGCTGGCTCTGCCTGGAGCAGCTTGTGTAACTACTCCACAAGCTCTACTGGCTCTGAGTATTGTGGTGTCTGTCTGTCACAGTATTTACTGCTGAAAAGGGGAAAATTGCTAGAGAAGTACAAAGGGAACGTGTTTCCACAGGTTGCCCTTGTTATACCAAAGCATCATCCAGCTACAGCGTGTGGTGAGGTTGTGGTTCAAGTGGGTTCTGCTCTCCAAGGCCACATTTTATAAAGCCAAGACCTTTGTTGCAGAGACACATCAGTCTTTAAAGAGATAGCATTATTCATTAAAATCAAACCCTCTGCTGTTGAGAAGGAGCTTTCCTGGGACTTAATTATATCAGGTTTAGAAGGCCAACAGCCAAGGGTGTTAGGCTTTCTCTCCCATGAGAAGAAGCTCCATTTTAATAATTTTAAACTCCCTCTAAAAACAAGGGCTACGAGAAAGACTTTTGAATAATTCTTTCTCTGACTGGGAACTAGAAATGAATAGATCTGAATCCCTGTATGAACATAGGTGGAAAAAATGGGTCGCAAATTTTGTAAACTGCTCTACTGTCTAGTAAGGACATAGGACACCAGCGACCTAGATTTCACCTAAATGCTTCAGAGCAGAGGTCTTTCAGCCTAGACAGAGACTATCCCTGCTTTGCAGAATGGAAAACTTTAGGCTGACTAGGGATAATAACTACTCAAATATTTGAAGTCAACTAATGAAATGTTTGAGGTTAGAATAATATATTGGACATGTTATCATTATTATGATTTTGATAACACCTTTTCCACTCAGAATTTTTTTTCCAGTTAATAACAGTGCCTTCATTTGCCATCTCTGTCTGGACATTACATCTACTTTAGATCCAAGGCTCCAATAGTGTTGCATGACATCCTTTCTCCCCCAGACACAGCAGAAAGCAGGCTCCTATTTTGAAAAGTAGTTTGCAACTATTCTACAGCTGTAGAATAGTTGCATAGATAGTGTAAAAAATACTCTGAAGTATCTAAAAAGTACATATTTATTATTGTTATGGCAGAAAACCACTAAAATGAATTTTCAGAAGTCTAGTGGGACCAGTCTAGCAGAGGTATTCAAACTGTGCACCAGTGTTTAGGGTCAGAAACTTGTACCACATGGGAGCTGCTGGAGGCAGAAGGCAAAGGCTGAGACAGCACAATAAGGCAGAACTTCTCCAGTTTTCAATTGGAACTGTAATTCAGGCTGGAGATGCTTTGACCAGAGTGGATATGTATCTCCTGCAGGAGGATCAAACACCAAGTCCTGCAAGGTGCCACTTTCTTACTCTGTGGAAAAGACCATATGCATTGTGAATTCTTCCAGGATGGCATGAATCTTCTCATCTTATAGCTAACAATCAGTCAGTCTTATGCCATTTTAAAATGAAGCAAGGTCTTGGGACTAAGGAGTTGTAGTTGAAGTCTCATTAATTAAACCAGTTTCCTTTAATCCAGCCCATTTTGAAATGAACTGACTTAAAAAAGTCTATATATAAAAAGGTAAAACCCTCCTTTGTCCCTTCTTGGAATAAAATGACAGCAAAGGCTGAGACTGTTGATTTAAAATGCAAATGAGAAATGTGCTCTGCAGGACTTATGACCTCCTCTGTGTAGACACAGGCGGAACTTACTGAAAGATTTCTTCCACTTTTAAAGTTGACGCTTAAAGAAAATTAATTTATCACTTAATAAAATGCTCTGTCTTGGTGATTGGTTTTTTTCCTCAAAGAGGCAGGGAAATGAAAAAAAAAAAAAGGCACCACTAAATGCATCTTAAACATTTGCAGTTCCATAATACCTGGACATACATGTGAAATACACATGTATTTCACTCCAGCATCTAGTATTCTGAAATGAGAAAGAAATAATTGTTCTTATGTAGTGCAATGTTATGCCTTGACATGATCACATTTACAAACACTTCTTCACTTTGGCTGTGGCAGACACTGTCTCCTGTGTTGAACCCTGCTGGTGGAAAAGGGTACTCACCACAGCCTGCCCTCAGTTTCTTGGTGCTGTGCTGCAGCTGGAGGCTATTGCTCTGTACCTGTCAGCACAGGAACTCGTGGGAACACTCCCTAGCTTGCTTCAGTCCAAAAGGGACTGGTTGGCTTAAAGAAATCAAGTGGCAGGTGTTTGTTCGTAGAGGTCATTTTAACTAAATTGCTTAGGGAGCAATCAGACAAGCAGTCTGGTTTTTGCTAACAGTTAGCAAAAAATTGGACAGGAGCAGGGGTGATAACCTTACCACCAGCACAGCTGCTTGAAAACAAATGTTTGTCTGTCCTGTGTGGGCAGATGGCAAGTCACATTACCCGACTGTAATATAAATTGGATGTGAAACTGTGTGAATGGGAAAAGGAGAAACGCTTGTTGTTAGGGCTAACTATTATAAATCATCCATAAGTATTCACTCCAGTATTTGTTCTGAGAACTTTTACATATTTGTCTTTTTTTTTTTTTTTTTTTTTTTTTTTTTTTTTTACAGAATGCCTTTGTTTAAGCAATGGATCACAATAAAACCTGTTTCAGTGGTTTCAGGTAGGTACTGTTTAGCATATCTTCCCACATTTTAATGGCAAATGCCTTCCTGATAAAGAGTGTTAGTGACTAGATGTAGTGGTAAAACTTCCATTTGGCCAAAAACTGCTTCAGTGAAGCTTAGTTGAAGTCAAAGAAGATAAGGACCCAAAGATAAGGCACCACAGAATATGGCATTTTCTGTGTTTCATGGCAAATGCAAGCAATCCCAAAGAATGGCAGTAGGTACATTTGTCTACTTCAGCAGATGGTGCAGGAGAATCATTAATGTGTGTGGAGAATTTAAACACTCGCTTCAACTTTTGGATCTCTGATTGTCCCTATGGCTGCATAAGAGAACTGAGATTGTGCAGCCTGGAGAAGAGAAGGCTTTGGGGTGACCTAATTCCAGCCTTCCAAGACCTGAAGGGAGCCTACAAAAAAAATGCAGAGGGAGTATTTACAAGAGTATGCAGTGACAGGATGAGGGGGAATGGCTTCCTACTGAAAGAGAGTAGATTTAGATTAGATGTTAGGGAACAACTCTTTGCTGTGAGGGTGGTGAGGCACTGGAGCAGGTTGCCGAGAGAAGCTGTGGATGTCCCATCCCTGGAAGTGTTTAAAGGCCAGGTTGGATGTGGCTCTGAGCAACCTGGTCTAGTGAAAGGTGTCCCTGCCCATGGCAGGGGGGTTGGAACTGGATGATCTTTAAGCTCCCTTCCAAGCCAAGCCATTCTCTGATTCTGTGATCTCTGCCTAGGAAGTTGAGTGTGGCTGGAGCTGCTGCTGCTGAGACCAACCAGTACAGCACAGTCCATGTCCATGGTGGTTTAGCCTCTCTTACCCTCTAAAACTGCTTGTTTGGAGTGGTCTCTGGATCTTGCCTGGGACTGCTTGGGAAAGTGCTGGCTTGTCCAAATTTGAACCAGACTGCTAGGCTGCTCTGCTCCAGCCTGGTAGAGGTGCTCAGGTCTCAGTGTCCAGGGACAGACTTGCACATTTAATAAACCAGCACAGATTTAGCCTGGGTGTTTCACTGCCCCACCCAGCATTTATGGCAGGGGTTCACTGCAGGTTATTTTACATTGCCTAACATGTTATGCTTGGGATCCCATCTGTTTGTGTACAACATAAGAGAAGTCTAAAATAAATGAATGGTCATAATTTTACCTGGAAGTGAGGAAGGACTGGTTTTCAGAGCTATGGCTACTAATGATATTTATGGGTACCTTGTTATTTTCTGTATGGAATCTCAGCACTTCATAAACTGTTTAACAGAAACATTTTGCATCCTTTCTCCTTTTCCCTAGTCAAAGGGTCAGAAAGACCCTAGGATTGTTGCTGTGATATCAACAGTACTACCCTTTTGTCGTCAATACTTTGAAGGACTTAGGAACTATAGCTCATCTTCAACTTCTTTTTGAAGTAAACAGTAAAGAAACATTTTAGTTTTTTATTAGTTATTATTTTTAGTTTTTTATTAGTTATTATTAGAGGCATATTAGTTATTTTTAGGTATTATATTACTATTATTAGCTATTAATTATATATTAGTTATTATATTTATAATATTAGTTATTAATTATATATTATTCTGCCCCTAACAACTCCACTGACCCTTGCCAGAGCTTACTCTGTGCTACTGCACTTCATATTAGTTTTGATTTACCAGAAAGGATAGGTGACTAGGAAATGACAGCTGCAAAGAAACCTCAGAGAGTGACAACTGCTGGCAGAGGAGCCATCCAGGGTGGTCTACAAATTTCTGTTGGGATTTCACCTCCTGATAATCCAGAAATACTTAAGGAACTGGCACGAATCATTTCTGCCATCATTTGTCTTCTTTTTTGAAGCTGTGATTTCTGTTATCTCAAACGCGCTGAAGAAGATAGAAAATTCTCAGTTCCATTTTATCTCTCAGTCTGGAAAATCAAAAGATAAAGAAGATGTAGATCTGATGCTTAAATAGAATCAGGTACTTCAAAGACAAAACTATTTTCCTCCTCAGGTGTTTCAGAAATTTCTCCAACAAAAAACCCCCCTTCTTTGTTCCTGTGTTTTAGAATATAGAAAACATGCAGTGCTAAGGCTTACCCCCCTTATTCACACAATTTCCATCTTTTTAGAAATCAAAGTATCGCAGAGGAGGTGGAAGTTTAAAACTATCTATTCTCCCACCATTAAAAGACGTCTTTTGTATTCAGTTTCAACAGCTTTGAATGTGAAAAACAAAAGAATCTATTTCTTAAAAAGCAGTTTCAATGGCTTTGAATGTGAAAAACAAAAGAATCTATTTCTTAAAAATTTCCCTATCAAATGTAATTATAAACCAATTAAATATTCCAGAAGCTTGCTTTTTACCTGTGAAAAGTAACAACCTACAAAGGTCTTCCACAAAGAAAAACTTTAAAAACCTTTTTATATATTTATTTATATGCATGCACATATACTTCAAATTTTAAATTATATTGCTCAGTTAACATATCCAATAGATGCATTAAGTATAATTTCAATTGCAGACACAACTTTAGCAAGACAATGAAAGTGAACCAGTTCACTGAACTGAACAACAACATCCTAAAACATGCCTGAGGCAAAGGTACTTTACTTTATAGCAATTTTTAAGTGAATGTGTTAGTGACAAAATTGCTCATCTGTATTTTTCTATCAATTTCTTCTTCTTCCTGGGCCCATTTGAAAAACTATTCCTAAGATAAACATGAATGCAATTTATTTTTTTCTTAATGAAAGCAAACAAAATGTCAGTTTTGGTTTTTTAGTAAAAAGTATTTTGGTCAGTAACATTGAAGGAAGTCAAAGCGTAGCAAAACCATCCATGAGTATAATCTTGATTAAGAGTCAGGTAGTATTTATGATCAATAGGATCTAAACTAAGGAGAGGAAGCCCAGGAAGGTCTCAGGAATCATGAGCACACACATCACTTTGTGGTCACATCCTCTTTTGGGTTCAGAAAACTTCTCCAACTGTGTATGTTCTAGAGTTAGATGAAATCTGTTTTTCAGTACAGTATGGTGCTGTTTTCACTCATCATACTCATTTACCTGTTTATTTGTGTCTGGCCTCTGCAAAACTCTTGAGGGGTATTCCCACGTTCCCTGGATGTTTCCACCATGTCAGTATCAAGTAAGTGCCACCACCAGCTGCTCCCAGTCTTCCAACCACTGCTCAAAGAATGGAGCAGCAAAGCCTTTCTCACGGGCACACACAGAGTTTCCCAGCTGACTTGGGTGGGACTTGCATGGGCACATACCAGTGGCGTTGGGATGACATCCCAGAGATCCACATCTTCAGTTTCTGTCTGAACTTGCAGAGGGGTCAGCACTTCCCAGCTATCGCTCTGAGGAAGTGTGCTAGGTTATAAATGAGACAGTGAAAATGAGTGAAGGATTTCTGTTCAATGGTTAATGTAAATACCTCTCTTCATTTGCATAACGCATAAGATAAGCAATGAAATTAAAGGAGGGACATATCACAGGTGCCAGGTGCCCCCAGATACCAGGGTGTCACACAGTTGGGCTACATGTGCCCATAGAAGGCAGTTTGCTGTGGTTGCTGCATATGTACCATAAGCCTGACTCAGCTGACACTGAATTTATGGGTTTTCTGCCTTAAACCAGGGTTGAATCAAAGCAAGGGACAAAACTGTTAGATGAACTATTCTCATTAATGACATAACCCACCTGTATCATGGCATCAAAGACACTGACCTGAGAAAAGGATTGTGCTTCAAGTCTGGACCTGAATCCATGCTGTTGCCTGAACATCAGGTATCCCACAAGGCTCATGGAGAAGAGGGAGGGAAGCTCAGAAATTTGAGCTCTTTGTGTTGTTCTGATCCTGACTTTAAAAAAGTGCAGAATATTTCATGTTTGATGACAAGTGTGGTACTGCAGGATCCCCCCAAAATTGCTCTGCAGATCTGCAGAAGGAAATTTAGATGTCAGTGAAACATTTGAAGAGGTTTTATCTCAGCTTGAAGTAATACTATAAGGAAGCACACAGTTAATTGTACATCAGAGTGTCTGCCAGTCACCCCTTCACACTGATACACTGTCTGCACTTTCCAGCCAAGGAGATCTGCTGAGAGAACTGTCAGTGGGACTCTTTGCATCCTCCCCTCTCTTTCTCCCTCTTTGCTGCTCTACACTGTCAGCAGGCTCCTGCATCTCTCTCAGTTATTTTCTACAGGGCTGTCTATAGCAGATGTTACAAGGATTTTGCTGTCACTGACATTTTCCTCTAGTGGCCAAGATACACTGTTGAGGGCTGTCTGTCTATAGGAGGAACCCTCCTCACATCAAAAACTTCCCCTGATCACCCCCAGCTACGGTGTTTTACACGATGAGACAGCTGATGGATTTGAACTGTGCCCATTTTTACCATTGCACTGTTATTGTAGCAATGGCCAACGTTTGCTACCTCTGTGTTTGTTATTTTTTTGTTGTTGTTTTCAAAAGTTTTCTTCCTCTTGGCTGTCTTCCCCTATGGTTGGGAAACTTTCCTTCTTCACAATCAACATCAAACACAGCTGATGATTCATGTTGCCAAAGAGGTTTGAGATTTTCCCCAGCTGCTGACTTTCTCCAGGAGATAGTATGGTAAAAAGAACTCCAGGATTTTTTTAATAGACTTTATCTTTTTGAAATTGTTATTGTTCATGTTTATCCTTTTTCTTCCTCTGTGCCTTATCTGTATTGCTGGGAATATAGTCAGAAGGGGCAGTTCAAGATATAATTTAGTTTTTTGGATAATTCCTGTTTATTGCCCCTGGTTCTTCTTGATTAATGGGTGACTGCATGGGAAGCTGTTTGTTACTAACAGATTTCTTCCACATTCCATGGGTTATGGTTTTATCTTTCCCTTGGTTTGTCATTTCTTTTTAATCTTCTGTGGAATATTTTTTGTTTTTCATTCCTTGATGCCTTTTTGACTATATTTTTTCATTTGTAAGAACCCAAATCAGTGCTGCTCCTCCACACCCTTGTCTCCCCTCCGAGAG